CTAACCTTTTGTCAGGCAAAAACAAGACCTGCTCAACGCCTGCCATCTTGTGTGCTTGGGCATGGTTGGCTGATTTAGCATTGGTGGCATCGGGTTCATGTCCAATGTTGGATTGAAGCGCTCATGTGCCCACTGTCGCTCTTTTCACAGCATTGTCGCCCAGTATGTACCCCGTATCTGAGCTTCAGATGTTTGCAGTCGCCATAACAATCATCAAAGGTCCCCAGGTCACCAGTGCAATCCGGAAAGTCAAGGTCTGATCCAGAATTTGTTAGAGTGTGCTGGTTTAGGAGTGTGCGTGGTCGATTTTTGTTCAGGGTTCTACTTCCTTGAGCGCATGGGCTGCTTTTCAACGGCTGTGCGTGGATCAGATTTGGGGGTAGGGTTGTAATGGAAATGTCTTTGAGCACGCTGTTTGATTTGTTCTCATTGCCGTAGCAGGTAGTGAAGCGCGAATTGCTGCTTGTCACGGTAGAGGTGCCACAGGGTACTTGCAACTAAGGCCGGGACAACTGTTGGAGTTACAGTCCCCATTGGGTTGATAGAACGTGGAATTCCCAAAACCGTTTCAATGTCCCCGTATGCCCCACATTCTATCTACTTAAGAGGGATTATATCCTGATGTTCATCGCTCTTGCGCAAGAGGGACGACTTCTGGCGCTCTGAGCCCAGAACCCTGTTTTCCACTCAAACAAACCACGCCACGCCCAAGTCTAAACAGGGTCTTGCGAAGATTGCCGTCCTCTTCACTTGACGTACATGGGGTTCCGTCTCAGGGGAAATAAGCAGCAGTTTCCCTAGATGAGGGACCCCCAATATACACCCCAAATAATGACCCTCCAAGAAGGTACCCTCAATTTTGGGAAGCCCCCAAAACTGGAAAACCCTGAACAAGGCCTCCTGTACTAGCTTCTACACGTTGAGCCCTGTGCCAAGGGAGGCATGCACGCAGAGTAGCAGCAAGGAAAACCAGGACGCCCCTAGAAGGGAACTCTAAACCCTAAGCTGATTTAGGGTCCACATTTCTTTGGGGTGGGAGCTTCTCGACATAGATGCTTATCATCAACGAGGCGACTTCTTGTACCCTCCTTAAACCCTAGGCCGCTCAAGACCCCCGCTTTGTTTCGAGGCTAGGAGTCAGGGGTGTATGCATGGCGTGTAGCAAGAGTAGGGAATGCAATCCAAGTTAAATGTGTGGCAGACACTCAGACACGAGTAGCAACAACAGTGCACAAGGGTGGAGTGTGTGCGTTACTAGCCTCAAGTGGATAAGATGCGGGACAACCGGCACAGTGTGTAGGACTTGTAGCGGGATTACCGTTCTTTCGTAAGCCCCGATCCTGGAGCTTTCCCTGTGTCCCGGCTGACCATTGCTTGTATCGAAGTAATTTTTCCTTCACTAGCATCCCAATGTGGAGCCAGTTTGGGTGCTCTCACTCGGCATCTAGAGCAAGACGGGAGCAAATGGGGAGCTTCTCAAAATCCTGCTTTTTGTTGGAGCCAGCCTAGGAGAAGCATTCCAATCTTGAAGGAACACCCTAAGGGTCCAAGTACCCAATAATCATATACTCCCCCAAAACCTATACTATGATTACTATTACCCAAAACCCAAGTACCCTAAACCCTTTATATCCCTACATACCCCTATATATCCCCTTTAAAGGGACCTAGTTATTGGGTACTTGGACCCTCTGGGAGAAGAGTTAAGCACATCCAATGTTCACACGCGGTCATCGGAAACTCCAGACTGACCCGAGATGACATCTTCACTTTGCCACCTTTGAAGCCCAAAAAGGTGTTGGTTACGGGTTTAGGGTTCAAGGTTTAGGGTTTAGGGTTTTGGGATTAGGGTTTAGGGTTTTGGGATTAGGGTTTAGGGTTCGAAGTCTTGGCCAAACCCACAGCTATCATCCAACTGGGCCCGGCAACAGATTTAGCTATTCCTTCCCAGCGAGGCAAAGGGAGATGGAGAAGCTACACTCCACACAACGACCACAGAAATCAGATAACAAGTTTTGAGCTGGACCAGAAAATTTTCTCAAAGACATCTTACATAAGTATGTACTACTGGCTCAAATGGGTTTTCCCGGAGATGTTGGGGTCCAGGGTTTTGGCCTGCCATCATCAGCTACTGTCAAAGACCCCTGGATTTGGCTCAGAATCATGGGCTGTTGTTTAGGGTTAGGGTCTGTGGTCCTGATAACGAAAATCCGAGAATTAGTGTCTAGCTCCTGAACTCAAATTCCAGTCTTCATCGCCTTTGCCACAACCCTAAGGGTCCAAGTACCTAAAATTCATAAACCCAACACCTGCACCATCATTCCTATTACCCAAAACGCAAGTACCTAATTATTGGGTACCTGGACCCTCTGGGCAAGTTGCAAGTGTACTTGCGTAGGCGCTGCAGCCCCTACTTCGCAGACCCAATGCCGTATGAACCTTTAACCAGATACCCCAAATTCTGTCAGGGTTTAGGGTTTAGGGTACCCTAAGGGTCCAAGTACCCAATAATCATATACTCACCCAAAACCTATATTATAATCACTATTACCCAAAACCCAAGTACCTAATTATGGGGTACTTGGACCCTAAACCCTAAAGCCTATATATCCCTACATCCCCTATAGCTCCCCTTTAAAGGGACCTAGTTATTGGGTACTTGGACCCTCTGGGGTACAAACCTGAAAAACCTGAAAGCCAAACCCTGTAATGTCGGGGCCTAGAGGATGACCAACTGTACGGTCCTAGGTTGTTTGTCTAGTTATGCTGGAAGGGGTACCTCAAAGAAGCTATAGTCTAAACTCCTTAAAGGGGGGGTTATATACGGGATTATATAGGGGACTACTAAAGGGGTTAGCAAGGGGGATACCAGGAGTTTAGACAGTACCTCAAATAGACTTCCAGCTGGTAGTGGTGATTATTTAGGCCCCTGCATAACAACCCTAAGCTCCCTACAGAAACCGAGCTTCCTTTTCCATGCCCTGTTCAGTTTTCTTGTTGCTTCTCCGTTATTTTCTGCTAGTATCTCCTGAACCTTAGACCTATACATCCCATGTATGTCCCCAACGTAATCTTCATATCTCCTCTAAGCCCTGTGTATATATCTGTGCAGATCCCTAGATCACAGCCCTCAGCCCTAAACCTTCAAGTCTAAACTCCGAACCTTGAACCCTAAACCCTATACCCATCCCTGTATCATGACTACATAAACCACAATCTAAGTTCTTTCAAAGGGGGTTATATGGGACTATTTCGAAAATGTCACCGTAGGTGTCATACCTACCCAGACCTACCCTCACCTTCTATTCAGGCTTAAGTACCCGCGATTACGGGCCATATAACCCCAAATTGAGGGTACAAGGAGTGTCCAGGCACATAAACATGGACGCTGTAAACCCTAGATCCTAAACCCTAAATCTTACACCCTTTACCCTAAACCCCTAAATCCTAAACCCTAAACCCCAAAATCCTAGGTCGTCCGGGTACATAAATCCGAGAGCCCCAAGCCTGGAGTCCAGGACGCCTGGGCTGCGGCCGGCGCTCTCGAGGCGGAAGCTTGGCTGCAAAGGCAAAGGTTTAGGGTTTAGGGTGTTTCTAGGGTTTAGGATTTTAGGGTCTAGAATTTTAGGGTTCAGGGTGGGGGTCCTGGAGCCCCAATATTTAAGTATTGGGATACTTGGAGACCAAAGAACTAGTCTCCTCAGGGGTGTAGGGTTTAGGGTTAGAGTTTTTAGGGTTCTGGGTTTAGAGTCAAGGGGTAAAGTCTGGGGTTCTGGTTATGGGGTTAAAGTTTCAGGATTTAGGGTTTAGGGCTCAAGGTTTAGGGTTCAGGGTTCAGGGTTGAAGGTCTACGGATTCAAGGTGTGAGGTTTAGGGCTTCTGCTTACGAACTTTTTCCGCCCGAAGACAGCACCGCAATGTTTTGCCTTGCAGCTCTAAATTCCAAAGTGTGCCCCCAAGTTTATACTTTGAGATTTAGGTTTGGATCGGATTCTGGGTTAAGGGTTCAGGGCCCAAGTACACCCTCATAATAGCCCCGGCTTATGTTGGAAGCATTCGTTGTTACTGGGGCGCAGTGCAACTCACAGTACAGAAGGGGAGGGAGTAGCGTGTTCAAGCGCAAGGGCTTTTAGGTGGTGATGCCTCTTCAGTTTTTCCGCCTTGCTAATCCACTGACTGTAATATTAACCCTCCCACACACCTTCCTAATATTCAACCTGCCCATTATGGTATATTAAGTTACTATAATCTATTTGGAATATTTATCTTTGGGAGGCTGTGGGGAGTTTAATATAAGGGGGCGGGAAGAAGGTGATTACTGTACGTCTCATAGGCCTGGCTTGGCAGAGGCCGCATGCAGCGCACTTCTGAGGGGGGAGGGACCTCCCCCCTTGAACCCCCCTCCTCTTCAAGGTTGCTTGGCAAAGCATGACCAGGCTTTGACAATGCTTGAGAGGTGCTAAGCACATGTAAGCATGTCAACTGTGAGGTTGGGAACCATTCAGAACTACTCCAAGGTTTGGAATGAACAGAAACCTTCACGCACTATTGTAGTACTGCTTGAAGAACCGTTCAGAAAAGTCTAGCACCTCCACTTGGCACCCGCCTCTAGCAACCTGGAAACCAGATGATCACCTTCTCCATGACCTTGTGCCCCTTTTCGAAAACCCGCGGTAGGGTTTAGGGTTTAGGGTTTAGGGTCACAACCCAATTCACCAAAGACCCCGGATGCATTTCGAGCATCTCAACCATGAGGCCTGAACCTTGAGCTCCCAAGCCTATGAGCCCTACCTGGACCCCAAGAACATGTAAAAATAATGGCCTTTATGGCTGTTGTTGTGGGTTTAGGGCTATTATTTTACATACTTTTGGGGTTTAAGTAGACCCTCAACCCCTCAGCCAGAATCAATTCTATGAAGCCCTAGCTCCCCCACTGCCACGAAAGTCCTAACCCTAAACCCCTAAACCCTAACAAGCCCCTTCCCCAGACTGCTGCGGCTATGCGTGCCTTCCCGGATGACAAACAGCTGATGGCCGGTCACTGCTTTGGGGTTTGGAGTTTAGGGGCGGTTTAAGGATTTTTGGTTTATTGTTTAGTGTTTAGTGTTTAGGATTTAGTGTTTAGGGTTTACTGTTTAGGGTTTACTGTCTAGGGTTGAGGGTTGAGGGTACAGGGCTTAGATGTTAGGGTATACCAGGGACCCTAATCACCGCGATTTCGCGTGGGAGTTTAGGGGTAAGGAATTGGTGTTTCGGGTTTACGGATGGGCCTCAGCAATTCGAATCGGCGCTTTGGGTATGCCATGCGAGAGCTACATGGACCATGAGGGGAGGTTTCTACATGGGGGTACAACAAGGGTTTAGGGTTTAGGGTTTAGGTCCCCCTGTTGTCGGAAACTGCCATACAATCCCTACAAAAGAAAACCTACTAATATGGGTGGTTGTCAAAATTGTGGTCCCTTTTTTGGGTACCCGAAATATTAGGTGCCGTATTATAATAGGGATCCAAAAAGGGACCGTAATTTTGACAACCACCAATATCAGGAACCTTGTATTCAGTTTCCTAGGCTGTGGAGGAATGCAAGCCAGCTTGGATGACCTTAGAATACAAAGGTGATACACAGCCAGTAATACAATGTGAGTTAGCCCGTTGAATAGGAATAATTCGGCACAGGTCCCCAAGGATTCAGGATCCCACTACCCAATAATCATATTACCCCCCCAAACCAGTACTATAGCAAATATTACACTAATCTCAGGTGCCTGATTCTTGGGTATTTGGACTCTCTAGGCATGTGATTTGTCTTTACATCCTCCAGGTAGCTATACTTGCAGAGTTCAACACATCGCCACCAATTAGTACCCCAAATTTAGAGTTTGCCTCCTTCCCACCCTAAACCCTAAACCCTCAACCCTAAACCCTAAACCCTAAATTGAAATTTCCATCCTTCCCTGAACAAAGCCTCGAGGCGGCCTCCATGAGGGGAATTCAGGGGCCCTTCTGGAGGCTTATCAGATCATGGTTTGCTAAAGGGTTTAGGGGTATAATATTGGGGTTATAAGAAAAGAAAATGGAAACTACTATTTAGGGTTTAGGGTTTAAGGATGAGGGGTTAGGGTTATAGGATGTGAGTAGTATTTTATTTGGGGATACTATGGTGGGCTTTAGGGTTTAGGTCCCTATAATGGAGAATCAAATGGAAAAGACAATGGAAAATGAAATGGAAACTGGGATTATATGGGGGTTATTTGTGTAGTATTTTATTTGGGGATACTATGGTACCCAATATAGAGTAAGATTATATCCTCCTTTTGGGGTATAGTATGTTATACAAGGAATAGAATCTTACTGGGTTTAACCACCAAAAACGTTTCTCACAGGTCCTTAGTCATGGTTTGTTTAAATGCGCACTTCCCAAATCGGGGGCCCCTGTCTGGGGATCCCAAAAAGCCTTAAACCCTAAACCCTAAGCCCTAAACCCCAAACCCTAAACGCTAAACGCTAAACCCTGAACCCTAAATTCGGTGTCCCGCGTTTTGTGTAAACTACCCAAATGGCTCGGCCTGGACCTCCAAGCCCACAGCCGCAGATCGACTGCATCACTGCAATGAGCGGAGTTACTGTCGTCTTGTTGAAGAAAAAATTTACATTTTTGTGTATACCTGGGCCCCAGTATTGATTTAAAGATGACAATTTTTAATAGTACCCCAATAAGAATCCAGGTTATCCTCTTCAACCGTGACAATGGCTTGAGAGCGGGAGCGCTTGGCGGATTGATCCTTGACTGGTTCGAAGTTGACCTTTGGTGGTGTTGAGGTTAAGGCTTTTGGGTTTATCGTTTTCCGGCTTTCGCTTTGGGTTTGTGTCCAGGGTCAGTGTATGAAAGGGCTCAAGGGGGCCCGCACGATGATTTGCAGTTGGGGTCTGAGACTCTCATGAGTGTTTTGCGCAACTTTAGACTTCAGGATTGGGGTGTAGTTTTCACAGGTATCAATCCTAGGTCCTATGCGTGCACTAGCTGTCTTATCAGGGCTGGCTTCAGAAGCTTCCAGAGCCCTCATACCCGGGGCTCAGGTTAGGTGATCCACCTACCCACCAAAAGTCAGCACAAGGCATAATGGTAATTCTAGTAGTGGGAGCGGGGATGGGGATATGAGGTTTAAGGTTCAATGTTTCAAACTTCTGTATGCAAGAGATTCTGTATGCAAGAGCAGGATGGCAGGTCTCTGCAAAGAGTGCAGCTATCATACAGTGGAAGGTAAAGGTAACGGCATGAATTTAGTTGCTGCGAACCATAATAGAAGATTAAACTAGAAGCAAGATGAGAACGCTATAAATCCAGCAAGAGGAGAAGGAGTTGGTGCTGGTGCTGGTTGTTGCAGTGAGAAGTGTCTGTCAAATTCTGAACATGAGACAGGTTCAGTCCTTGATTGGGACTCCCATAGTCTCCTGATAATGTCTAGATATCCCTAGTGTCCCTTGGTGTATTCTGGTGTGCAGAAAGCCGCTGACGGCAGTTATTGCTTGAAACATATCGACATCTTGCTCTGCATAGGGACTTGCAAGGCAAGACGGCTGACGGGCTGTGCTTTCAATGGTGTTGCTTGCCAAGATGCTGCGACTCATGATAATTCAGCTGCCCCTGACTTGGAGAAATTTCCATTTCGGACAAAACAGACCAACGAGCCTTCATATCTCTACCAAACCCCTTGAACCTCAAAGCCGCAATCGCAAGGAATTACTCGTGGGGCTTCTATTCAACACACATGGACGACCCGGACGTGACCGCTTTAGGCTAAAGGGTCCTGCGCGGGAGCACTGAGGGGGGGGCTCCAAGGGGGGGTCCAAGGTCTAGGGTCCTGATGAAGCCCCCATATGAAAAAACTACACCCTCACCCACCCCAATGCTAGATATTCCATGTATATATTACGGTACATCACATTGGGTATGTGCAAAACTAGGGGGGTGGACATTGCTAATATTAGGGAATTGGGACCAGTGGTGCGGGAATTCAAACCAAAAACCCGAAGCCCTGAACCTTAAATCCCACAAGTCCAGGGCTTGTCAGGAGGTCTTCAATTTTCCCCAAGCCTCAGAGGGTCCTAAGTTTCTCTATTGTACAAAGTCAGGTTTCTATGCTAGGAATCTGTGGTATGGTTTGGGTTAGTACCCCGGATATTAACCCTACACCCTAAAACCCTAAACCCTTAAAACCCTAAACCCTTAAACTACTTAGGAGCCTTTGGGAGGGGGACATTTCGCTTTGACCAGAACAGAAGATCACGCTCCTCAGTTGGGATTGTGCTATTTTTTGAAACGAACGTTGGCTACCCAGTCTGCATTATTGTCCTCAAGCAGCTGGGCCTAAACCCTAAACCTAGGGTTTAGGCTTCAGAGTTTGGGGTGTAGCCCACGCAGACCCTCCTGTGTAGTTCCGTTTTGGGTAGCGCATTATAATTCCTTACCAAAAAATCATAACAAACCCAAAAAGGAACTACACATAAACCGTAGACCCGTGGTACTAGGCAGCCGGTTTTGATTTGGGGTATAAGTCTGCTGGTTTGCTGAGATTCCTTTTTGGTCATGCACCAGGATCCCCATATTACCCTCAATTTGTGGTTATAAGAGCTATGAGGGGGAACCTAGGAGTGTAGACGTAAACTATGGCTCATATGGCCCTAATAGTGGGGACTTAGGCCTGGATAGAGGGTAGTTGTAAGGTCTAGGCAACTTTTTGGAAGGTGGACCTTCTCATCAGGCGTGCTTGGCCCAACGTACAGTTGCAAGGAACGGTTCTCGAATTCCTGGAACGAGTGCAGAAGGAAACGTACAGCGTGCCCCAGAACAGTAAAGCGCAGAGCACACGTGACCGCTGAAACCCCTGATATGAAACCCTCTTTGCAGGTGGCGCTATTGGCTGTTTCATGGACTATGTCGACGAGAACCGTGCGATTGGAAGGTGCGACGAAGCCTGATGACTGCGTGAGTTGTCAGTACTTATAGGATTGCCAGGAAAATTTCCTGCATACTTGGCATTCTGAGATGTGGTCTAGCAGGGCCATAGAGGTCGGAGCCCTCAACAGTGCATAATCAGATGTTGTAGCATGCTTGTAAGTCCCGTGCCAAACGCTACGGGATACTAAAAGAATACTGTGCCAATTGAGGCAGGGGGATATGAATTTGAATGCGCTGGTTTGGATATACGTTGTATTGTGGCCAGTTGCCTTCTCAAGGTACTGCGAAAGGACCCCTTCTGCTCATATCACCTATAGTCAAACTCCTGCCTTACAGGGGGCGATGAAGGGGATTACCCAGGGGAGTATTATAGGGGTTATTAAGAGGGATACTTATGTAGGAGTTTAGATTATGGTTCGTATCACCTTAAAACCCTAAACCCTGAAACCCCCAAACCCTAGACCCTAACCCCCTTCTGCTCATATCATGTAGCCTTGCGGCGGGACCTCGCTGCAAAGACTGCCACTGTTTCATAATGCTTTCTCCGAGCGGCAAAAGGTCAGAGCAGTACCTAGACCGGAGCTACTGCCAATGTAAGATGTTCAAAAACAAATTGCAAAATCCTTGACATATGAATTCCCTAAAAGGGAACCCATGTCCAGTACGTATCTCGGTTAAACTCACTGTAGTTCAAGCGGTGTATTACCTCTTCTTTGGATTGTATCTTTATGGCAAGGATCCGAGAATATTTTCTCTGACAAAAAAAACAACACTTGTTAAATCAAGATACCTTTGCCATATGCCGATATGTACGGTATGGATCATGGAGTCCTTTCCTGTTCCACACCCCCCCCTAAGACCGAACCCTAAACCCCTAAACCCTTAATTGTGTGACTTCATGAACCTTCCAGAAATACCAACGCGATCCATTCACTTTGGGGTCCCCGCCAGCCCACACATCACATATGAGCTATATTATGATATACTATAATGTACTATAAGATATTATAAGTTATTATACTATACTATACTGTAATGACCTTCCACGCCAAACCAGACCTAGAGATTTCTTGGATGCTACGAGCAGGGAGATGGCGCACCAATCTACGCCCGTCATTCCACCAAAGCATGCCAAACTTGGTTTAGGGTGTAGGGGTTTCGGGTTTAGGGTTTAGGGCTTAGGGTTTAGGAGGTTAGGGGTTTAGGGTTTCGGGGTTTCGGGTTTAGACCTAAACCCTAAAGCCACGGAATCCCTGCTATGTTGGCCTTGAGGGTTCGCGAGCCGACGACCATGAACCGCCCGGAAGAATCCGAGACAATCACTATTGCCAAGCCTCATTGTGAATGTTGGGACAACACTATTCCGAAACCCGAGAGCCTAAACCCTAAACACTAAACGCATTCCGAAATACAACTTCTTGTTAATCACGCTTTAGCGAGAGTTATTCCTACCATGGTTTTCGTAAAGCCTCGCTGAAACAGATCAGCTATAGTCTAAACTCCTTAAAGGGGTTATTCACAGGGTTTAGCGTCTAAACTCCTTAAAGGTGGTAATAATATATAGGGGACTATATCGGGGAGTAATATAGGGCTACTAAGGGGGATACTAGGAGTTTAGACTCTAGCTTATGTGACATTATGTCATTACCTATGGAAACACCTACTCTTCAGACCTTGCAGCCGATCCTTCCCGCAGGTTTATTCCATGAAGGCCCGATGACAAGCTTGATTGCTTAAGATCCTATAGTCCTCCTTAAGTAGATAGAATATGGCTTCGGGTTTATTACAACAAGATCCCCACATACCCCATATTCTATCTACTTCAGGGGGACTATACCCTATGAATCCCAGTACCTCATGACCAAGAAAATGACTTCTACGCCTCAAGCCCTAAACCCTGCTCCCCAAACCTTCAACACCTTGTTGTTTAATGGTGCCTTGCCTCTAGTTCATGGTCTAGAAGCTATGATGAAGAGATGAGTTAGCCCCCCTCGCAAAAACATGGCTATCTACGTTACAGTGTAGGAAACTACAGGGCTCCTGCATGATTGTCATATACCCTAAACCCTAAACCCTAAACAGTATCCCTTGTGGTCACCATGCGTTTGTGGTGGTGGGGCCTGAAGTACAGTGCCCAGGTAGGGCCATCCCCAAACTCTTGATCCTAGACTCCGAAACCCGTAACCCTAACCCTAAACCCGAAACTTCTGAGATCTTACCCTAAGGGTCCGAGTACCCAATAATCATATACTTACCCAAAACCTGTACTAAAATTACTATTACCCCAAACCCTAATACCTAATTATTGGGTACTTGGACCCTACACCCTATATATTCTCATATATCCCTATATGCCCCTATATACACCCTAAGCCCTAACCCTAAACCCTAAACTTCTTAGATCTTACTGTATCTGGCACAGGGAGCTGGGCGTGCCGGAGGGGCTGGTCCAGAATATGCGGAACAACTTTCACGGGAAGCTCCCGGGTAGCAGTTACTTGGGTGTCCTTGAGAACAGGTACTTGTTTGGGAGCTTAGGGGCCCAGATCCATCAAGCTTAGAGTTTGCAGGTTTTAGGCCTTGATTTTGAGGATCCCTTAGTAAGTTTGAAAGCCCCACTAGGTGCCTCATGGGACTTCGACCTCTCCTACCTGGCCTTACGTAGGTAACCATGGTTGTTTACACGCATTTGGGAGTTTCCCAAAGTCAGGGGTGCGTTTCTTTGGGGGTCCGCATAGTAAAGATTAGCTGAACATATTGGGGTCTATACTTGGGCGTATCCTCCCTAAACTAAGCTGGAACTTTTGACCGGCCTTTTTGAAAGGCTTGAAGTCTATGTACAACGGGCACTTTGTCAGGTTCCATGTTAGTTTGGTGATCAGTGGGGTTGGGGGACCCCACCGAGTCAGGGTGACTATAAGGGATAATAAGGATTAGGGAGGTGTCTCTTGTATTCCCATACTACAGGAAGGTGGGTCCTCCTAAGGTAAGGGCGCAATATATCCCAGAAACCCCAAACCCTAACCCTTAACCCTAAACCCTAAACCTCCCATGAACTTCCAGATAGGGTTGGGGCTCTAGGGTCGCTCCTTGAGAGAGGTTTCTGGGGATGGGAGTGGGGGTACATGGGGGCTGTAGAGGGAATATGCAGGGATGAAACCCTAAACCCCAAACCCTATATGGGGATTTCCCAAAATTAGGGGTACCTTATTGGGGGTCCCCATAATAAGGACTTCAATATTTTTTGGGTCTATATTGGGGACCCCTTCATTTGGGAACCTACCATATAGGAATGTTGAGGTCCCTAAACCCTAAACACTAACCCTAAACCCTAAAACCTGTTTCACAAAGCAATGGTGCCTTAAAGCCTTGCCTGGACCCTGGGGAACCTACCTTCCCAAAGGATCCAAAGTACCTAAATGAGCTGAATAGGGGAGCATCATACGGACTTTACCGGGATACTAGGTGTTAAGACTATAGCTCATATAGTGAGGTACTACCCCCAACAACATTACTAGTTCCCAGCTTGGAAGCCCTACTTTGTACAAGTCTTAGGTGAAGGTTGTGTCCTTTCGTTCTATAGCGTAAAGACCCAATAATTGTGAGTTCCGTAGCGCTCCAGCGAGCCATGGAACTCTACGTTGAGAGGACGATCTCCAAGTTTGAGCCGGTTGTGCGAGCTCGGCCTATAAACCGCAAAGCCTAAACCTGGGTTTTAGGTTGGGTAACGGTCTATAATAGGGGGTCCTATTAAGCGCTATATATATATAAACATACTATAGTTGTTAGTTATTATCCAACTGTTACTGAGTGGGGGCAGTATCCAAGTTTTAGGGTTTAGTTTTTTTCAGGCTGCAACACTTGGGGCTGCCTGCAACCCCCAATACACGCAACGTTCACTCTGCAACTTGCATTGACCCCTCCGGCATTCGGTGATATTTTCCCGAGACAATGGGACTCTATGATATAGACTCCGAAATACGATGATCCTTATTAAGGGGACCCCCAAAAGGGATATCCCCATTTTGGGAAAATCCCAAGCAGCTGAATCCTACCCTAAACCCTGAACCCTAGTCTATCCTTACCCATTGACAGAAGCCCGTTCGGACTCGGGGGCATTCATGGAAGGCAACAGATATGGGCGCTTCCAAAAATTCGGGGTACCTTTAAAGGCTATATTGGGGTTCCCCTTTTTAGGGAAACTACCATATAGACCCCAATGCATGACAATACTTCTTATAAGGACTTCCACAACAAAGCCTCACTTTGGAAACCCAAAGCCTACATATAAACCCTATCTAACCGCTACGAGTTAAAGTGCTCCATGTAGCAGGGGTGGAGCATTGCGGCGCTCCAGCATCTCGTGAGCCTGAACAACTGAAAGCCCAAAAACTTCACTCCCGAAAAATGAGTGGTTTAGGGTTTAGGGTTTAGGGTCCCCTCATCCGAGTAACATGTTGGACATTTTCATTAGTCTAGCCTGTTGGGAAACTTCTTTATCATGAGATGGGAGCTTTATTGTTAGGGTAGGTGATTGCTTGGTGCTACGTTTCTTGTGTTCTTTAAACTTATACACAAGGAGGAAATGACATCACGCAATCACCCAAACTAGCCAGGAAGTACAGACTGTAGTCCCCCTCAAGTTGCTTTCTGTAAATTGTATTCAATAAGATCCCCAAATACCCCATATTCCATCTACTTAAAGGGGGATTATAGGACTATCCTGGGCCCAGGTATTCAGACTGGGCTTATGAACCTGTGAAGCACTCGTTGTACGCGCTTTCTTCTACCACCTGGCGGAACCAGGACGGCATGTAACGCGTATGATCACGTATGTCTGCGGTTACGACTGGTACGTTTTCATGCAGGCACCCCAACGATGTTTCGGTGTGCTAGCAGGCTCCTGATTTGAGAGCGTACCCCGTTTTGCTCTGCACGCTATCGCAGGCGGAAGGCCGCATGTTCCAATTAAGGGCGCTGCACTGCGCAAGGATTCCGGCACACACGGATTGCTGCTGCCATTGGGAGCCCAAGGTTAAGATCTAGAGTGCTGAAGCTTCACTTGCATCCGCCTTAGACCTTGTAGCTGGCGGAAGGGCAGGACTACCAGAAATGGAGCTTCCGAAACAGCACAGGCAAGGCGCGTTTTTGTGAGTTTTAGTCTGACCCAGTAGCAAGCTTCGGAGACATTATAAAGTCACCGAAGAAACCTGTTATGTGATCTTGCGCTTGTAGAGCTGGGGGTCATGTTATAATTCTTACATATCATGTTTGGGTCTGTGTTTATTTGGTACTTGTAACAATGACTACGTCTCAACGCAGTTCTTCCGAGACTGAGCACAATCATGCCCCACAAGGAGTTGCGGCGGTGGTGGCGGGCGTTGTGGCGGTGGTGGCGGGCTTTTGGCGGTGGTGGCGGTGGCGGCTATCATGTTCGTGGCCATGGACATTGTCATGGTCGTGGCGACCCCAAGCCCCAAACCTTTCCCTAAGGGTCCAAGGACCCAAATAGGGTTTTAAGCCCCAAATACTATAGTATCAATGGTATTGAGGCCCCAAAACCCCTTTATTTGGGTCCTTGGACCCTTAGGGTTTGAGAGCCTTTGCCAGGACATTGTTATGAAAGAAGGCTTTGTCCCGCTGGACATTGCGCCTCTTGGTTTATGTTGGCTGTGGCTTTTAGAGTGAGCTGTGACACACACCAGCAAAAGCTTTGTACAGCGCTTAGCTTCCAGCCGTGTAGATGAAAGTTGACATTCCCAGGAAACACAAGATGTATACATTGTAACGGTCCCGATTGCTGCGAGATTCGTTCCGGATGTGTTTGTGCTACTACGCCTCCTACCAAGTGTGGGTAGCCTCCAAGTCTTCACACGTCATCAAACCCGCCACAGCCGAGTCAACAAAAGGTTGATGCTGCCTTAGTGGTAGGCCATTCGTCATCTTCAAGAGTCACGCAAAGAGACATGGAGACCATAGTAAGTGATTGCTGAATCCTCTCATTTTGGTGCCGGTCGTGTCTTAATTCCTGATCACGACAAAAAGATTATACAAATCCCTGCATATTTCGATCATATAAAAGTCCGAGCGTGTAACTTTGAGCCTAGAACACGACCCCCCCAAACCCACAACCCCTATAAGCCCTAAACACTAAAACCTAAACCCTACCCTAAGGGTCC